ACTCGCACTCATGAATCTCTCATGACCAGGTGGTAGATCTTTTTATTGATCTTTTTATTGTCTCTACGCCGAATAACCTCGATATTGTACATTCCGTCGGCTTTCAATCTTTGTGTCGCAGTCCGGGGGATCTTGTCAGCCCCGACTCGCTTTTCCCCTCTGCTTGAATTTCATATGGATGCTCATTCATATTGAGTTGCTTGTCTCGTACATTCTTGTCAATGATGTTTGTAATGTCGGCTTATTTTCTATCTCGCGTAGAATGGCAGAGGTAGTTGCAACATCGCTGGATAGGTTTTGGACAGATTCATCGGCAACTTTAAGTCCCCGGTAGAAAGACGTTAGATAGAAAACCTTGGAGGTGATTTCTGTTGAGGCTGATCAAGGTCCTGGTGCCAACAGAGGCCCATATCGGCGGAGTTACTGTACAACATATTTATACCATGATAGCCACGAAGAATAGCTTTTTTTAACCCTGATCGTAATAAATACTACAATACTACACTTGTACACTCAATCTTTGCTTCACAGCCCCTAATTGTTAATAAATAACCATCTCTAATACCTAGTGCTGTCAAAAGTCATAGCATATGGGCATCACATGACGCGTATACCCCACGTGTCTTTAAGCTTGTCGCAACAGCTCCAATCTTCAAGCTCCGAAAACAACTCATCATGGGCCTCCAACGGTCCAATGTGACAATAATCCACCCGGATCTCGGTATCGGAGGTGCCGAGCGGCTAATAATCGACGTCGCCCTAGCCCTTCAGAACCGAGGCCACCGCGTAACGATCTACACATCCCACCGCGATAAGGCGCACTGCTTCGACGAGGCGCGCGATGGCACTCTAGACGTCCGCGTGCGCGGAAACACCCTCTTCCCCGCCCATGTCTGCGGCCGACTTCACATCCTCATGGCTGCGCTGCGCCAGGTACATCTTACCGTGTCACTACTAGGCGAGCTTGGGACAAGGGGGACACCGGAGACAACTACCACAACCACCGACGATGAGGAGGACGGCGATGATATCTTCATAGTGGACCAGTTGCCAGCTTGCGTGCCATTTTTGAAGTCTTTCGGCCGCCCGCGCCAGTCCCGACGTCAACGAATTCTCTTCTATTGTCATTTCCCGGATCAATTGCTCGCGCGCCGAGATGAGGGCGGCTCGCTTCTTCGCTTGACGAAGGCCCTGTACCGGTTTCCGTTTGATTGGTTTGAAGGATGGGCGATGAGCGCGTCGGATCGGGTTGTTGCGAACTCTAGGTTCTCCCGTGGGGTCGTGCGTGACGTCTTTGGCTCGGATAAGTTGGGTGACGTGGAGGTGGTCTATCCGTGTGTCGATATGGATCCCGCGGTGTCAGTGCCTGATAAAGCGGAGGAAGACCCCCTCTGGGGTGGCAAGAAGATCTTGCTCAGCATCAATCGCTTCGAGCGTAAGAAGGATATGGCATTGGCGATTCGCGCTTATAATGGACTAGGAGCGGAGAAGAGGAAAGGGACGCGGCTGGTGATTGCTGGTAAGAACCTGTGCATGAATTTTCGATTTATATAAAGTCTAACATGGTATTTTACAGGCGGTTACGACAATCGTGTCCATGAGAATGTTCACTACCACCAAGAGCTGGATGAGCTCGCGACCAGTCTCGGGTTGAAGACCGCAACCTCCAAGACAGTCGTGTCTGCGCTTTCAATCCCCGACACCATTGATGTCCTCTTCCTTCTTTCCGTTCCCACTGCATTCAAAGATACCCTGTTGGCGCAATCAAAGCTCCTTCTCTACACACCGATCAACGAACACTTTGGAATTGTACCCGTTGAAGCAATGCGTGTTGGCCTCCCAGTACTAGCATCTAATACTGGCGGTCCATTGGAGACGATTGTTGAGGGTGAAACGGGCTGGCTCCGCAATGCTCACGCAGATGAAGAGTGGACTGCTGTGATGGACAAGGCACTTTACGGACTGAGCCGGGAGGATCTTCAGCGCATGGCTATTGCTGGCAAGAACAGGGCGCAGCAGGAATTCTCACTCACTGCTATGGGTGATAGGCTAGAGGAAGAGATTTCCATCATGCTCAAAGCTGAAAGAAGACCATTCAATGGGTGGCAGCAGGTGTTTATCATTCTCGTATTGGCTGGGGCTGTTCTTGCAGTAATAACAGCCATTTTACTTCGAGCGATATAATCCATAGCTCATGCATTTTAAATCCGTGTACTTTAAATTAATCTACTGTTTCTCAATTGAACAAGTTCCCCTATCTCCTGTTCTGAACATTGTTCACTCCTTCACATAACGACTCTCACATATAAGTCACATGACCTCGTGTTTTGTTCGTGGTGACGTCGCGTCCCTTCTATGTACCAATTGATCTTTATCCTTAATCGCCGGCCCTAGTGGCATTGGGGCCTCTCAACATGCCCGAAATAATAAACCTCCTATCCTCCGATCCTCCTACTCCAGAAAAGCCCCAGCCACCAAAACCGCGACAGCCAACCGAACTGCCATCGCGACGGCCAACCCACCAGCTCCCTCCGATTTCGTCAGACCCGTTCGATACATCCCTGTTCGACTATGAAGACGTGTTCGACAAGCCCGCCAAGAAACGGCGAGTGAGCGATCAAGACACTTCTTCTCTGCGACAAAGCACTACGCCAAATGAACCTCGAGCTCCAGCTTCTGCGGCGGAGCCTTGGTTCTCGATATCCGATGATGATTTTGACCTACCGCCAGTAAACGCCGCGGCGCAGAGCAAACCATCTCAGTCGCGTGTTGAAGAATCGGATCCAATTGTCTTTACCTCTTCGGCCCCAGTTGCTTTGCCAAAGCCCCCATCGCGGAAACCGAATCTTTCAACCCGGGATATTCTTGCGCTTGCTGATGATGACGTATTGTCGGACCCCATGGACCCTCCGCCCTCAGGTTTCCGAGGGCGTAGTGATATTGATGAATTCAGCGATCCATTTGCTCTGCCGGAGGTTTCTGAACTACTGAAAAAACCGACTGTCTCGAATCCTATCTTCTCCGAGTCAACTGCTCGCCTATTATCTCGCCTTGGCGATGAACAGACTTCAGGCCCTAAAGCAAAGTCTGGTCCTAGAAATCAGAAAGAAACCAGCTTGAAATCGACGGCTATGGAGGTCCTCTCCGACGACAACATTGACGAACCAGTAGCACCCCGGAAAACAGCAAAGAAGACAAGCAAAGTTACTACCGCCGAAAAGGAAGCAAAGGCCAAAGCACGCGAAGAGGCAAAGATACAGCGAGAGCGAGAACGCGAGCTCGAGAAAGAGCGGAAGCTGAAGCTCAAAGAGGAGAAAGCGAAAGAGAAACAACGGGCAGCCGATATCGCGAGCGTCAACAAGCTAAAGGTGAACAAAAAGGATTCCACACCAGAGATGATCGTCGACATGGCCACATCTCTCGAAGACAGCAGCGTTGGCACTCAAACCGTCGAGTTCTTGAAACGCCTCGGCGTCCAACATACATTCTTCACAAGCGCAATTCCCAACGTAGTCAAATGGCGTCGCAAGATGAACGCCACGTACAACAGAACCCTACGCTACTGGGAACCCTGTCCATCCTTCATCCAGAAAGAAGACCACGTGCTATGTCTATTACCCGCGCAAGAGTTTATCAACATGATAACCCCACCACCAGACGACGAAGAAAGAGAGACCCTAGAAACCCACGTCCTCCGAATAAAAAGCGCCTACCCGGACTGCAAACCCATCTACCTAATCGAAGGGCTGACCGCACTAATGCGCAAAAACACAAACGCACGCAACAGAGCCTTCCAAGCCGAAGTCCTGCGCCAACTGGCCGAAACAACCGCACCAGAAGAACAAGAACAAACGACAGCGCGCAGAGCTCGAAAACCAAAGAAAAAGCCCGACACAACGCCCCTCGTCGATGACGAGACTGTCGAAGACGCTCTGCTCGAATTGCAGGTCACGCATTCTTGTCTCATTCACCACACGACCGCGCCGGCCGATTCCGCGGAATGGATTAAGAATTTCACGGAGCACATCTCGACAGTGCCATACCGTCGTGAACGACAGGAAGCGCACAATGCTGCTTTCTGTATGGATACCGGGCAGGTGAAGACGGGCGTGGATAAGCAGGATACTTTTATCAAGATGATTCAGGAGGTCAATCGCGTAACGGCTCCTATGGCTTATGGGATTGCGGCACAGTATCCCTGTGTTGCGGACTTGGCTCGTGGAATGCGGATGCATGGTGCTATGATGTTGGAGGATATCAAGGTAGGTTTTTGTTTCTTCCCCCTTTTCTTCTTCTTCTTCTTTTTTTCAAATATACTGGCTTTCTCTTTTTCTATTGGAATGTCTTGCTGACTGCTATAGAAATCCGCGAACAGAAACGGCTCCTTGACGAACGCGCGCATTGGACCCGCTGCTAGTAAGCGGCTGTACAAAGTGTTCAATGGACTTGATCCGAGTTCAACGGACATTTAGGTTTGTTTTTGTCTTCATGCTTAATTTTGGTTATGATTGCCATTTTTAGCTTGGGCTACTGCAGAGCATGTCTCTGCATTCTGGATATTGCATCCATTTGGCACATCGGATTATATTTTGGTTAAATTGTTACTTGGGCTTGGGCTTCTAAGACCCTGCCTCTTCTCTCTTCTGGCTGGGAAATCGGATATTGTCCAACTCTTGAAGCAGATGTCCTGTTGGATTATGGGGCATATTGCTATCGACGGAATGCCAGTTGGCACAGAGTAGTTCCGAGTAGTGCATCACCACCTACAAACGCAGCGATTGGTTTTTCTTTCTCCCATGCAAATGTTATATTTGAACATCAATATAAGATGTTAAAACCCGAAATAATAAAAAACTGCCTAGCTATATGCAAATGCGAAACCACATCCATGTGTAGAACCCATTATCAACGCCCATATAAAACACCAGACATCAAATCAAACAGATTAGACATCTTAAAAACAAACCAAAAAACCAATCCTTCCTTTACTAAATAGCCAACTAAACAACAACCCCTCTCCTCTTCCACCCCCTCCAAGCAGCCAACCAAGCCAAAACAGCAATCCAAACGCTAACCGTGCAGCCGACAGCCCAGAACCCATAGCATCGCCATCCATGACATTGCCCATCAGACAATCCATCACCGTCGCCGCGATTCATAGCACTCTGATAAGCAGCGGAGTAGACAATACCCCAGAGCGCGGCACCAGCCGCCGGCATCATGGCAACGATACCCCAGTTCGTGGCGAAGTTCTCGACGCCCCAGACGACAGAGATGATGATGGGCGCCAGGGAGAAGGCACTGCCGTACCCGAAGCCGATTAGTGCGGTTGTCAGGTTGAAGATTCCTGGGTGGGCTAATGGGAGGGGGAGGCGAGGAGGAGGTAGCCCAGGGAGAGGAGGAAGGCTGAGGGGATGAGGAAGACCATGCGGGAGAGAGTGAGGCGTGACGATGGAGGGGATGTGTTTCGGGAACCTTCGGGGATTGAAGGGAAGAGGTGTGTTGCTGGGGGTGCGAAGTAGTCGGAAAGTGAGCCTGTTAGGAGTCGGGCGATGGTCGAGGTTAGGGCTATGGTTGTGACGTGGGTTGAGGGGGATCCGGCTGGGGGTGAAGCGCCTGTGGGATAGGATTGAGGTGTGAGGGTTGGGATAACTGTGCCCAGCTTTTGGATAAGAAGTTAGCGTAATGGTATAGCTGGAGGTAAGACTTTAGACAAACTCACGTTGTTGATGTACGATTCGCCGGGGCCGGTGACCAAGAAGAAGCCGGCGGCTAGCCACCACATGGTGTTGTCTTGTAAGAAGATACGGGTTTCATAGTTGAGAAGCCAGTTCTTTTTCCGGCGCTCCTCTTCCTCGCGTTCCTTCTCTAATCTTTGCTGCTCTCGCTCTTCATCGGACAGGGTTGATTGCTCCTCATCGAATGCATCAGAGAAAGTGCCGTACTCAACCGCTTGCCTGATTTCATTCCGCGGTTGGAAGAAATCACTCTCCTCCAGCAGTCCACTGCGCTCTAGTTCTTCAACCGTCTCATCGATATACTTATCATCATCCTCCACGATGCGCAATGCAAAGGTACCGACGATCCCAATTCCCAGCAATAGCAGCGCTAGAAAGACGAAGTATTGGAAAACGTCGAGATCACCGTGGCTCCCATCCTCGAGACGTTCGTAGAACAGATACGTCCCGAGTTGACTTTGCCACATACCACTAAGACCGAACGCCGCAATAGGAACAGCAAGCATAATACCCTTGTGCTTTCCCCTGCCGAAGTTCTTGGCACATGTCGCAATAGCTGCTAGATACATGCAGCTAGTGCCCATACCAATGGCGATAAACGCCACGATCATCACCCAGAACGGCCACCCCGAGCCTCCCGCATCAACAGGCGGGCCGCTCTTATACGTGAACGCAGCGAGGAGATACCCGATTCCAAAGACCAGTCCCGAGAACATAGCTAGTGGCGACGGGCTGTACCGATCACACAAGTAGCCGAACAAGGGGACGGGGAGGTACATTGCGATTTCCGCAGCGATAGAAACGGCATTAACCTGGAGCTGCGAGTAATGGAGCCGAGTAAGGAGTAGATGGCCATACAGAGAGAACGCAGTGATACTCCCGGCTCCCAAGCTACAAGACACGAATATACGGGTCAGCTTCCAGGGCACCAATTGAGATCTTCTGGTAAATATCACAGCCAGGATAAAGGTTTTCCATACCAAGTAACAACACCCCAGCTAAAGCTAAGCACTCGGATAACCTCCTTCTGCATCTTCCGTCTGTCTCGCTCGACAATCTCCCCGACGACATCGCTCAGTAGCCCATCATCACTCCGACCAATTTCGTGATTAGCAGGGCTCAATGAATGTCGTCGCGATGGCTCTGCGCTTCGGTCGGTTGTATCTTGTTCTGTATCGAGATCCTGGAGGAGCGGGCGATTTGCGTCGAAATCGCGCTTATCGATCGTCATCGTGCTTTCTCCGCACCGATCGCGCTAGGCGGTATAACCGACCCTTCGCTGGGGAAGGGGAGGGGGGAGAAAGGGTAAGATAGGCGAGGTAGGTATAAAAGGGCTATGGAATACGGGAAGGTGTTGAAAGATGGAAAGTATGTGGCATGAACGATGGAATGCCGAGCACAATTGTCCGAGTGAATGGAGGATGGAGCTTCAAGGGCGGGGAGCGGTGTCGGCTGGGTGGATCCCGGGATGTTGTGTTGTTCAAGGAGTTCAACTTTTGAGCTACAAAGTAATAAGTAATAATATATGGTATCCAAAAGTTATAAACTCTCAGAATACCTAGTATTTCTATTTAGGCAGCTCCTTAGTGAGGTATATGCGTAGTACATGTGTGTAGATATCAAAAGTGAAGGTTACCCCATAGAATCACATGACATTGGGATCTATAAATTTGGCAGTGAGCTGAAGGACTACTCTTTCTTAATAAAAGAACACAGTAAGTGGGTATTAGAGCCCATTAAGTATTTGGGCGCATCTACGGGAGATTCTGTTTCTGACAAACACGAAGGAAAAGCTTCAATCAAGAATGGTCCATGTCATTTTGAAATGGATATTGTGAAAATAGTGGAAATGAAGGGAAATAGGCCATCTAGAGATAAAGAAAGGATACTCATGTACAAATAAAGTAAGATCATAGTAACAACCCATGAAGGAGACCGAAAAAAAAAAAAAGAAACAGTATTTGGAGACATTGGGGGGTATTATCAATATCAATAAAACAAGACTGAGAAAACTGATACACGCCCGAGAAAGAAAAAAAGAAGAAAAAGGCTTCTGTGAAACAAAAAAGCAAAGAAAAAAAATACCTCAAAACGACTCTAAATGCATCCAAGCGTTGACGGGGATCATAGAAACACCCATTGAAGGGCCGGGTCGTTATTTCGTAGTGTCGATCAGGCGAGATCAGGCACTGGTGCATATGAATGCTGGCGTTCCCATGGGGAAGGGCCTATCCTCCGAACGCCACGTATCGGCAGTGGGCCGACAAGATAAAAAACAAGAAAACAAGAAAGAGCAAAAAGGCGAGAAAGAAAAACAACAAACAACAAACTAGAAACTAGAAACTGACTTCGCCCGCGTCGGTTTCCATCATGGTCTCATCCCAATACTGAGCAGACGGTCTCTCACGAGCCGCAGGTTGAGAGCCCAGCGCGATGGCTTCACCTTCACCGCGTTCCACAAATTCATCCAGACTGACCTCTTTCATGATCCGCTGGAAATACATCCGGAGTGTACGCAGGCCACGCAGATACCCACGATCAATGTCGTGCGGGGTGTGAGGTGGACATGGCGTATCTGAGGGAAGTTCGTCCTCGCCAGTGACGCAATTAGCGAAATCGACAATCTTCAATTGAACGTTCACTTTGCTCTGGCCGTCTTTGCGGGTTCCATGTTTGAGTGACGTGTGTTCACCAGAACGAGGCGGTTCTTGATCAGGTGGAGATTGTGGTTCTCCGTCATAAAGAATCAAGAGACTGCTAGCATAGAGTCGGTAACTATCCAGCTGTCGAATCATGTGCTCCAACAAAGCTAATTTCTCTAGAATGACAGGGATCTTTTTGGCTACGCTGGCATAGTTGACACCGTCATAAAGGAACCGAGTGAGCGCATCCTGGAACTCACGACCGGATTTCAAATCTCGTCCGAAATACTTGTCTTCGAAGATGTACTCCTGCTTTTTGACGTTCCAAGTTTGCATGCCACAGAGTCGCACACCCAGCTGCTGCGAGGTAGTGGACTGACATTTCCGTCGCTGAGACTTCTTCTTCTTCTCATTCGCCTCGATACCATACTGCCGAGTGCCCATCTTCAGATCTAGCACACATGGTTTATTCATACCAGCTGTCAGATCCTCAAGGAGAAGGAAGAACTGCACTCTTTCATCCTTTCTCAGCTGTGCCTCTTTAGGGTTGCTGGGCAGGATCGGGTTGATAGGTTCTTGTGGTCTGAATCGGTTTGGATCAGAAGTTCTACTAGAAGCAAAAGCTTCGGTGGCGTGGTAACCATTGGTCGGGTTACTTTCCGACACTGGCGAAGTTGGCCGCTTCGCGGTGGAAGAAGCATTCGACATTGAGGCATCGGCTTCCATGGAGAAAATCTCATCCTCCTTGTCACCGCCATAATCATCGTCATCGAAGAACATAAGCTCTCCATTATTGCGGGAGTTTATGCTGCCACGTCTCCGGAGGCCACTCCCGGAATGCCGCCGTCTGTGAGGAGTCCGAGAGACCGAGCTCGCTCGGTTCTCTTCTTCGGTCCGGATCTTCTCTAGGCGGTTTTGGTTGGCATCGAGGGCCGTGGACGCTGATGATGAAAGAGCAGGACCTTCACTAGGGGGCGCCTTTATGTCAATCGCTTCTGTCTTTAGAGCTGCGATTGGCCCAGGGACGGGTCGTTGATCGCTAGCTGTGCGGTCTTCCGATAGGTTCTCTCGGCGGTGGGCAGTGGTGGGCATGTCGGAATTAGCTCTTGGCAGATGGACATGACCTCGAGCATGTCGCCGATGATGATGAATGGCAGGAGGGCTGAATACCTCGCGGAGAACCTGCTCTTGAAGCTTGAGATTGACGGTCGTGGCGCCCCAGATCTTGGCCCGCTTGCTCAGAGCGGATGTATCAGATTCCGCTGACATACCCTTGAGGCCGTCGACGGATCGAGCGCGGTCTATTGAATCGTCTGCTGTCCGCGGTCGCTGCTGGTGGGTAAAAAGGTCCGCAGGGATGATGTGGCGATTGTTCTCAAGAATGACTTTGGGGATGACGCCTGTAACTTGGGACTGGCTAACAATTCGCTGTGGCTTCTGTGATTCTGCTGCCTCGTGAAGCTGAGAGCTGAGCGCTGAAGTTCCATTGGCAGGTGTCGTCTCTGAAGTTATTCCATCAGCAGAATCAACCTGATCCTTTCGTTTAGATGTCTTGGAGAAGGTGACGTTCAACACTCCGATGTATCTGACAAGAATATTAGTATTCGATACGCTAATAACCATCTGCTTTCCGTGGAATAGATTTTACGTACTTTGGGAGAAATACAAGCATATCTGGATGCCTCCGTTCAATGCGTTCGTAGAACTCATTCTCTCGGTTGTTCAGCTGTTTGCATACAGCGCGTCGGGAAAAGCGGAAAACGGTTGTGTGCCCGCCAACCTGATGGCGATAGGGCTTCAACTCCACGGCACCAAGAGGCCCCGGGGGCGGGGGTTGGGGGCGAGAAGGAAGTTGGGAACGCTGGGTCGGTGTGGCAGTCGGGGTTTCGACCTCGTCAACAGATTGTACACTTTCATCTGCTGATAGTGGTTCGAGTTCGGAATCGTAGATTGAATCGCCGGATTCAGAGATGGTACTCAAAGGCTTTTGTGGAGAATGGATATCCCCATAAAGGATCTTACTTTCATTCTTAGATCGAAAGGATATATCCACATGGCTGATTTCCTTCTCGGGAGAATCGCTACGCTCTTGGGGTACTAACATCAGCTCATGACCTTTCTCTGCAGACGACACCTGACCCGGCTGCACATCGAGAGGGCCATCTGGAAATTGTTGTAGGCTATCAACCCCATCACGCACTGTACGCTCGTGAGGGAAGTAAACGGCAGAGGAGATCTGCTCATTTTCCTCCTCCTCAACCCCAAATTGCCCTGATCCTCGGTCCTCTTCCTCGAAAGAGTCAGACGGAGATACTTCGACGTGAAGATCCTTCTTGAAGTAGTCCCGGCTGCGCTCTGAATATTGAGTTGGAATGCTCTTCGAGAAAGAAGATCCATGGCGACCGCCAGGCGTGAGATGAAAATTTCGGATCTCCTCCAGCAAGTTGCGGGGCAACGATGTAGGGTGACGCTTGGAGGGCTCATGGTCATGCATGATGTGGGGCAACTCAACCTGAGGTGCAGGTTGGAAAGATGGAGCATCGGCAAGTGCGGAGAGTGATATGCTTTTACGAAGCGAAGTCTCCTGCTCTGAACGAGGTAGTTCTTGTTCATAATCCATGATGCGATCCCTCAACTCCGTTTCATCTTGTGGTCGGCCGCGATCCTCCCGTCGTTTGCGATCCGGTGAAGAAGCGGTGTTTTCTTTGAAAAGGCCCAGGTAGTGGCTGGATTTACGGCTGCGCACATTAGAAGCCGGCTCCGCGTTGGTCAGATTGGCTTCAATTGAGCTGTCAACTCGACCACGACGACCTCTGCTAGGGCTTCGTTCAACCGCCACCGGGGTCTGAGGGGTTTCTTCTTTCGGGCTGTAGGATAAGGCACCCCGACTGACCTGAGAGCCCTGGCCAGAGGATGGGATGGTCAAAGAATGGGAGGTACGAGGGACATCATCTAGTGTGGACGGGAAGAGATTCCGTTCAGGTAAAGTGCCTTGAAACCGACTGGTTTTCGTACCTGTGTTATCCAATGGCACCTTGTACCGCTGAGATCCGCCCAACTGGGCCTGCGCACCGGCCTCTACCACGGTTTTCTTTGGGTGATCAGTCGGCGAGGTGGATGCGCGTAGGAGAGACAAACGAGGGAGATCGGTTGAGAAGAGAGTAGAGGAACGCAATGGAGAGTTTCTGTGGACGTCAACTTCCATGCGGGAAGGGTCGACGTTAAAACGATGGGGAGAGACCTTGGAGAATGCACTTGGAGACACGGATGCATCGTCAAGGCTAGGGATCAAGTTGACCTGGCGTTCATTGCCCAAGGCCTTTTCGGGGGGTAATTGTGGGGTATTTGCGGCACTATCTGAGGGAAGGTAATGAGTAGCGAAAATGCTGTCACGTTCTGACAGCTGAGGCCTGTAGACGATATCCGGGTGCGCGGTATTCTCCGGAGGTGTGGTCGCGGTCCTTTTTAGAGGAAATAATCGTGATGCGGGCTGAGACCAAGAATGGGTGGGGGATTCAGCGCGCGATGGTGATAATACCTTCTCCCCCTGGGACAGATGCTGGGTTTGCCCCAAGTGATGACGTGGGGTAGCCTGGGTATTGGAGCAATCATGTTGGGCAGGCGTAGCAGGTGTCACCAGGGGACTAGGCAAGGTATCTTCGGGAACGGACGGCGAGTTTGACATGGGGAGGACATTGGTCAAGTACAGGACGGGAGGGTATGGAAGCGGAAACCGGAGTGGTTTAGGCGTAAAGAAAAAAAAAAGAGGATTTAAGACTAAGATAGATGCCTAGGACATGAGGAAGAAAGATTGGCGTCAGAAAGAATTTCCAACTATTTGCATTCAAGGGGGTGGGGGAAGGAGTTATTGGGGGGGCACGTTTAGGCAGAGAGAGATCTTACAGGCTAGTAAAAAGCCGCAAATCGGTTAGAATGCCGGGGATGAAGAGTTCAAGGAGTTAAAGGGAAAGGGAGATGGGGAAGTTTGAAGAGGCACAGTCTTTGATCGTCACCGCCCTTGAGTGGATCCGATTTAGGGGGGGATTTAGGGGAAAAAAATAGGAAAAAGAATAAGAAAAATAAAAAGATGAAGATGAAGATATTGAAAATAGAAAAAGAGTGAAAGGAAAAGAAAATAGAAGAAAGATGAAGTTATTTAAAAAAAAAAAAAAACCGAGCGGGGAGTTTGCCTCTTTTCACTTTCACCTTATGCAAAGAATATACAGCTTCCTATACAAGTACTACAAGACTACAAGACTATAAGACTTGGTCTATTGTGCAACGTCTTACAGAGCTTCTCTTCTAGTTAGTTGTATCTTTTGGACTGGGATTCCTAGAGTATTGAGATTGAGACTAATATATATATATATATATATATACATGTCGGTATCTTTATTCTCATTCCTATCTTGTATGATCTACCAATCACCTGTCTCAATTCATAGTGTGCAGCCATGTTGATCGCCAATAGGTGTCCTTGATTCACCTCTAGTTAGTTAATGATCTCTGTAACATAATATTTTCATATCTTACTTAGGTAGTACCATCTTAATATCTTAATATCCGTTAAGCTCACAAACTAAAATGACCAAGGCTTATATCTCTTTCACAGTATGTCCCCGATAAAGGAATTAAAACTAAACGAACTAGTTAAATAAACTAAAAAAGCAATCTCAAATTAATTGCCCCCACTTTGACAAGCCACGAAAAGGACCTTATCTCGAAAAAGAGATGTCAACTGGTAGTACATGGCCAAGAGGAAGCGGTATACTCTGTACAAGAATTAAAATTCTCAAAGCTGCTGCCTGTGTAGTATCATATTATCAACTTATCAACTCGGTAACTATAATATCATGTTATAATCCCAGTATATATATCTATCGTTGGATGTCGCATTTGTAAATTGTTCGGCATATACATTTAGTACTAGGTAGAATGTCCAGATAAAAGGTCATATTCTTTATATTCCACAAAAGCTTAGACATAAAAAATAATAGAGATATTTAGAAATAATAAATACATACCTAGATAAACCACCCTCGAACTACTCCCTAGTCAAAAAAACCAACAGCGCCTAAGTGTGATTGTGATGGGAGAAAAGTGATTGGGAGCCGAGCGGGTTGTAATCCAACCAGAGTCCTCAGCGAGGTGAAGAACATGCATTAGGGGCCAACCACCAACCAGGATGAGTATTTCAACGAACCAGAGCTTCGTGGAAGAAAAAGAGAGGAGAGATCCCCGCAGACCTCTGACTTTTGTACTCCCCCGCTTACAAGGCTCCTATGGTCTTCCACTCCTTAGTTTGATGCCGGCTTCCTTCCACCATGCGCCTTCGTTCACACTTGAGGCCTTATAGCCACTGGAACCTTATAGATCCTATTTTCCACTATCGATCGCATGTTCCTTAACAAGTGTTTCTTCTTCTAATACCCCATGTTGATCCCCGCCAGAAAGCTGTTGAGTCGCGTGTCATACAGCTTCCCACTTTCAATTATCTACCTTGCGATCAACTAAATCTACTATTTTACGACAGAGTAATCTCGATCAAAGTTGGATCTATTTATTTGATATTAGGTTCACGAGAAAACCGACTGTCTTGACTTCAAAATGAGTCGCTTGAACGTGGACACTACAGTAGGAGGAAACCACCAGAGATATTCGTTTATGGAAACACCACTCGAAATGCACCCATCATCCTACCAACGGGACTTAGCCTCGCCTCCGCCGGACCAGAGTGCGCCCCCGCAGCATTCCGCAGTGGAAGAAACTCCGAAAGAGCACCAGCGAACGTGGTCATATGCGCCGAGTGAGAAAGAGCAATTTCAGCATCAGGGAATAATCCCGGATTATGCAAACTGTCCGCCCATCGAGCAGCACCCGGCCAATTATGCGCCTTTGGTGCATAATCAGCAGCAGCAGCAGCAGCAGCAGCAGCAGCAACAACATAACACTTCAATGTCTCCTCAGTCATACGCAGTTGCGCCCGAGCACCAGCAGCACGCCGCTCAACCTTATACCCAATCATATACCAGCCAGTCGTATACAAACATAGCCGAACAGCAAAGTCACACCATGTCTCCTCATACATATGCAACCCAGTCGTATGCAAACATACCAGAGCAACAGCAGCACGAATGGCACCAACAGATCGGCATGACCATATCTCCTCAGTATGCGAACGTACCTGAACAACAACAGTACAGCACCCCGATGTCTCCCCACTCATATGCGAGCCATCCATATGCGACGCAGCCATACACCCACCAGGAACAACAGCACAGTATCGAAATACCCACCCAGCAATATGCCTCGTACACCGAACCTCCCAGCTCACCACCCCCGAACTCACCAGGGCCACTGCCCCTGAAAGTAAACCCCGAAGCTCCACCACGGAGCGAAACCATGCCCATTGCTCCGGATGAAAATCCCCTCCAGTCACCCAAGTCACTGTATTTCCCTCCACCCACCAGAGCGACCACATCGCACGCTGTCCAACCAGATGACCTGAGCGCATACCACCAACCTGGCCAAACCACGCATCCAAACCAGGAGATCAAGGGAGGAGGATGGAGCAACGGACTGTGTGAATTTTCGAATTTCGGAATCTGTTGCCTGGGACTGCTATGTCCGTGTATTTTGTATGGGAGGACACAACGCCGACTCTCGATGAAATCGAAGAAGGAGGACCCGACCAATATGCTTGGATATGAGACCTGCAACGGGTCATGCACGGGGATGGGATTGCTATGCGGATGTCAATGTAAGTCCCAAGTCCAGTTCCAAGCTTGAGTGAGGTCTAAAACATCGCCACCGAGCAACCCACAAAAGAAAGTATCATTCTAACAGCACAACAGGGTTACTGGCCACAGTCCAACACACACGAACGAGAAGGGCATATGGCATCCAGGGTAGTATCCCATCGGACTGCGTGCGGGCGACCTGCTGTACATGCTGCACGTTGATTCAGGACGAGAAGGAGATCCTGAAGCGTGAGGAATACCGATCTCGTGCGGCTAGGGAACGGAGTGCGACTCTGCTCTCCCCGTATACTACTCCCGGGCCGATGTCGTACGGCCCGCCACCGAGGTAATGTGCTATATCTAGCGAGAGGGCAGATTTCGATGGCGTGGAGTCTTGTGTATATAGTCTATGCATTGTGATGTGAATAGCGTTTGTTATTTGATATGTCTTGAGTTTTGTACCACGGAGTATTCCGTAGCTTGTCAGCTTTGCCCACTTAAGTTGTGAACAGGACGTATAAACAGGGCATGGTGGGGCCTATTTTACCTTAATAAAAGAAGGGAAAATCACACGATCTTGTTAATAGGATGAACTCAGTGGCGATTAATTTGTGGGTAAAGAGAGGTAGAGTGAGGTCGCGAAGGAAGTGTCAGTAGCCCAACCCTTAGGATTTACCGCATATATTTCTCAGACAAGCATGTCCTGATGCCATGCACATTGTGCGGAACCTTCCCATCTCCAAGGCACAGAAGTTGTGTTTTTCTGGCATTTTCATTTTGGGATTCTTGTACATATGTAAGCCTTAATTCGTCTGGTCATCCTGATCGAGCTTTCCACAAAGGGAGATGACATTACCTGTATGCATAATTTCTGCTCCAGATCACATCTATAAGAACTTCCCACTAACATCCGACCAGATAACGAAGTCCCAGTAAGTTTTATATTTTTAAGGGGTAGGTTGTGCGGTTGGAATCGAGGTTAAAACCAGTGAGTATTGTATGATGAAACTTGCGAAGAGCCAGGTTTATTCAGTCGAATACTCTCTGCCACTACCGACCGATTAGAGAGTTTGCTTTATTCGAAGAAAATAACCTAAGACCTATGCTCCACCACACCACCACTCATCCTAGTCCAATTGAATTGCCGCATGTCTCTCCCGGGGTCGGATAATTCGATTATCCCAGTCCATCTGACGGCGCAGGGCGATTTCCTCCACACCAGCATTCTGCGCAATCAAACAGCAGGTTTCCTGCCACGCGTCATATGAGATAGTAGGCCGGCTTTAATCCGTCCATTAGGAGCGCCGAAGAAGAATGCCGAGCGGTCTCCTGTGGTGCACGGAAGCAGGCCAAGTTACCAGCTGTGCAACGCTGGCAGGTCGTCCCAAGACCGGGCTTATAGAAAGGCCGCTCAAACACTAGGGCCCTCTTATCATCAAAGGCCACACGCAGAATACAATATAGATATATCTCCTCTGTACCGAATGTAGTCGATCGTAGTGCCGGGTTGATCAACGCGTTTGGGAAGCCAGTTTTCAGACAGTCCAGCAGGCTAATATCCGCGCCGTACTAGAGTCGCGCGACCCACGAGGTTTTGCCTATAGCCGGCTACGAGGTTGGGAGTTCTTCTATATCCGAGCTGCGAGTAGAAGAGACCGAGAGAATCGAGGTATGACTGTTAGACTGCCGGTAGTGCTATATACGGGATGCGGCTAGGGTGTGTCATGTCGGGCGACGGAGCTCGTGAAGGTATAGGGGCCGGAAAAGCCTCATCGATCCTCTCTAGCGCTTAGCCGAATTGTAGGGATGCCATTTCGGTACGACACTTCGATAGTATAATAGCATAAGTCAGTTTTAAACTCCGATATAAGGATTCGGGCTATACATCCATAGCGACAAAGTCGATATAGCGTGTGGAATAAGCCCAGGATCCGCCGTATATAAGTGAGATGATAGTCTATGTGAGACCATGTGAGACCAGGCGAGGTGTGTGGACATGCATCGAGCCCGCTGTTAGAATTGTCACCTTCTGCCTGTTATATGCGGTCTTTATTTAAGGTCATGCATGTCAACGCCTCTGACTTGCAGTTCTGTGGTATAATCTGGCGACTTGTATGTGATGGTTGTTGTGTTGTTCGAGTATCCGGACCTGGTGGAACAACCAGGTGACATTGGTTGGTGAGGTAGATCGAAAGAGACTGTCGGTCGATCTAGTGTGCTGGGGTCCGATGGCATTCTAGCCAATATGTCATCAACAGAGCCCAGCCGGCGAAGGGGGTATTAATGGAGCGAGAGAGAGAGAAGAAAGGTTGATTGCTATTGATATGCAGAGAGAGCTACTTATGGGTGGTGACAGCCTAACTTACCTTTTATTCCTTTTATCCTAATCGGGAAACAGAGGCTGATTTCCTAAACACGTGTTATTCAAGTCATTACGCTAGCTTACCTTACGAGAGTGGTGATGTGGGAGATGGCAGTAGGGCAGTAGGTAGGGGATGGTATTTCAGGGGGTAGCATTAGTACCCCCAATCGGGTATAGCCCTACAAAGTGTGAATAGCTTCAATACTTCGTACACGCAATGGTATTAATACTAGGCGGTGATCTAATTCGTACGCGGTGAGAAAGGGTGGTGAGCTAATCGGTAAGAAGTTGGAATAGATGCCTGGAAGGTCAGGCAGGGGGTCAAATTAGACATGGGGGGGGTCGCAGTAGCAATCCCCATAAGATATACGTGATATATTAGCAATGTATTCAACATGCTTCTGCGGCCACGGAATGCGGGTCAAGAGACATGTCTTTAGCAGGTGCGATTAGCGAGGAAATGGAAGGGTCCGGGTTCAATCCTTCTATCACTATACCACAGAAAGTGTTTATTTCTCGACGATATGATAGACTAATTTGATACATTAGGGCTCCAGTCTACGATGGCCCAAGCTTTCGGCATATCTTGCCAACTTTGCGTTTTCGACAGTTTGAATTTGCCCAGAGCCACGTTCTTTAGATGTCAAAATCACTAGTCTTGTATACACAAAATCGATGAGGAATGCTTCATTCATATGACACCCACTCAAATACGTTCGAGTTTAGCTCTAATTTTTGTCCGCTGATAGGATCTTCAAAAGTGGCAGTCCGATGGGACCCCTCCATCTTACATAGGACAAGCCTAGTCTCTAGGAGAAGGTCAACTCCGAAAGAAGGGTAAGCGTGAACCTCTTCGCTGAATTTGTGATCAATGCTTCGAAGGAACCCTTCAACGGATGCTGCAGCCAGAACACTTCGCACTGGATGCTCTCGGGGCAACAAGGTTGCTGAGGCAATATGCTCAGGTATGAGATAAAAAGTGTTGGTATCAACCTTTCGGTTAAACTTGGTGTTGTCTGGATGAGGGTTGTGTTTTAAGATGTTCCTAATGTATTGGGCCATTATAGTTTCCAGCCCAATAATATCGTACTTGTCGGCAAGTCTTGCGAGCTCCATGGCGGCCGAAATATGCTCTCCTGGGTCTTCTATCCCAAAACTGATAGTGCGATGGTATAGCCATTGAATGAGTGCTTCAAGACTGCGCACCGAGACATCGTCCTCAGTCTCTTCTAGAGTGGCCGTTTGCTGTTGTGACTCTAGAAATTCACCGTTGAACATTTTCGAGAAGACTGGCGATTCCGCGCAGAGAAGGCCTTTGGAAATTATATATTCCTTGTTGCTAGGCTGTACTCGAAGTTTGACGGAAGGGCCTTGATATAGAGGAAGGATACTAGAGATTAAAGTGGTCAGATAGCCACTTCTCAAAGATATCTCAGGTACTTACTTGGCCACAAAGTGCTCAGCACTTCCTTCGGGGGCGTCGGTCATTATATGCTCAAGGGTAGATCTACCCACTATTATGGATTATGGTCAGTTATCGAGAACGACAAGTGTGGTTGGAACGCTGGTCGTGGGGCATCGAGATAGTCGCGATTTCCGGAAGTACTGTAATGCTGTGGCAGACAGAAAGAGGGGAACAGAGCAAGGCACATTCTCGCATTGTACAGCCAATTTCCTGTAAAATACACCTACTACAGTGACTGTTCATAAGTTTTAACACCCCCTTTAGCCCCACCCATATACCGCCTTCCCTAATCGTCTATACCGCCTATATGAAATGAACTGGTAGACCTCAACTCTCTTGAGTTCATGTCATATATCTGGATATTTTGGTTTATTGTCCTAAAATGATATCTAGCCTTTTGTAAACAATCATTAAAAGCCAGAGATTTTGATTTATAATGGTATTGAAGAAAATCTTCTGACCGGCAGAATATTATATAATCACAGTGGTGTGGGGCAGGGGTGTTAACACTTTTGAACAGTCACTGTATATGATGTCATACTACTGTATTGTAAGATACACCTACCAGTCTAGAAAGCGGTCTGAAAAGCGGGCCCTTATCCCCTGTCCAATCAGGAGCCACCGCTTCCGGATCTATCATCCGGGAGTCCAGACACAAGAGTGCGGAGGTATAACTGAATTCGAATGCTACTGTACGGATAGGAGTTTTTCTTTTGTCAATTCAAATTTAATTTACCTCACAAGTCCTTAAGAATCTAAATTGAATCTAAATTGAATCTAAATTGAGCTATATTGCTTCACGTCAATCACTAACCCTCTTTAGTTTTATAGTATCCCTGCCATCGACAAGGAAATAAGCGCATTGCCCGGGCTGGTCCCGAATGCGTTGCCTACGGCGTATGGAATGCGATATTGACCTGGCAGTTTCCCATCGTTGATGGCTATCAGGACATCTGTCTGGGACGAAGGGGAGAGGCAGATGAAACAGTATCTCAGTGCAACCCACAAGACCCGTGCTCCACAAAGACGGACCCTTGTTTACGGTATTACTACCGTGGGGAGACACTTTCGGGCGTTTAAGGACTCGGATAAAACAAAGGATGTTGTTCACCGGGTTCCGCGTGGCGTTCGAAAGAAGCCTACTCCCTTCGATATTGGAGATGAACAAGACCGTCGTGATATCGCGAAGATCCTCGATCATATCAGAGACAACCATTGAGCCTTGGAGGTGTTCATTGTGGCTGGATCCATACTACGAAATATCTCAATTTCATTGATACATCTAAAACTACCGAAGATAATTTATCGTACAAAGGAGTGGAAAGAGGGTAGTGGTGTATGAGTACGAGTCTGTGGCGATGACATCAGAGGGGAAGCGGGGCCAGGGTCGGGGAGGATTTGGTAAGCGGTGGCCGGACATTTCAATTACGGTATTTCTGGCGGCTGCCTAAGGGTACATTTGATATAATCGGATAGGTCCACTTCTAATCGAATTAGGTACAGCGCGATCTAGGTGGGGCATGGGGAAAGAGAGTAAAAGAGTTTGGCGCTAAAGCTGATTTCACCTCTTATTGCACAGTCTCGCGCGCACGTACATCCGTGTTGACTATTCCCTTTCTCTCACTTCGTTCGTTTCACAAGAAAATGGGTCAGAGCCATAGTAACCGTAATAGGTATAGCGTGTTTCGAAATAGAGTTCGAGAAAGAAACTCCGTGTGCAGGTGAAACTGATTTTGATCCATCCCGTATAACTTGCTCCCAATGTGCACACGGTGCAGTGCTTCGGGAATGCGGTGTCACTACCTACGTGTTCTTTGATTGTTTCTCGGAGCCTAATGTCAAGGGAGGATAACATTCTTTAGGCGGCGTACAAAAGCATCACTGTTTCAACGACATAGGTATCGTAAGACTGAAAAGTATTTTGTAACACCCCGTAACACAAATAGAAAAGCCATCGTAATATGTCTCGTTGACAATTGTGCTGGTCCTGATGTCCTGCAGAATGACATACAATTTGTTTTCAATCTCAAGGCGATAACTTGGGTTTAGCGGTCGTGAGAGGTATGATCGTCCTGTCCCTCTTTGCTTATCGGTTTATCTTTAATATCTGCTTGGTGAAGGAGAGGACTCTCATCAATACTCGCGCTTTTCATATGCGTATCTTGGTTGGCATCTTTGTCAACGTTGCTAGAGGCTGGGACGGGGGCATAAGGGTGCGAAATGCTTTCCCGATAAGGATGGGATCTGCCCGTTTGAATAGCGCCGTTATTAGTCTCGCGATGAGCGGAAGAAATAGCGAAATCGCCAGAGTCAAAGTATGTCCGTTCCTACCGGTCATTAGTTATCGCGCGTTATACGAAACTGTATTCTGTGTACCTTAGGCGTTTGAGCTAGTAAGCCTCCACGCCGCAGCTTTCCGTACTTTTTGAGACTGTTCTCGGATTTAGACAACAGCGGAGAGGATCATTAGTGTCGTTCGTTCCAGGAAGGGTGGGACGTACTCCGAGATCTGGTCCTCCTGGCTGCATTCTGAGAGATGAGTTGTGTATTTTCAGATGATTTTCCAAGCCTGCGATAGGGACTGCATCTGAACAGGGAATACTAAGATTCTCGAGATTATGATGTTCGTGACGTTATTTGCCCTGCGCGTGACCTTGGGACCTTCCAGGTTCCAGGGTTCCAAGGTTGGGATCCAACGGCGATCGATTAGTCAGCTAGATCGGCTGGGCAATTGGGAAGCTGTACTCCGTACGGATTAAGTCGTCATTACCAGAGAGGCATATTGGTATTCCCGAGCTATTCTCAATACAATGAATGAATCCTGGCATTAGGGCTCGAGAAGTAATCAAAGAGGTGATGTAGTGGTAACCCAGGCAACCTGCAGGAGCTTTCGCCTTCCATGTCGGACAATACTGACGAGCTTTTCCAAACCCTAATCACATGCTGCGCTAACCCGTATATGGTTATTTCCGTATTTGAGGATCCGTCACAAGGGCTGGATGGTATAATACTAGACGCAAAGGAACGGCTTAATAAGGTATCTGTTGTGTATTGTTACGGTACTTCACAAGACCGACCCCTCTTCCCCTCTTCTGACTACCACCGCCAGACCTCACGAAATCGCACTGAAGGCTCAAATTTGAAAGAAGTTGGAAAACAACATGCAAATCCCTACGGAGATATACGATCATGTAAGGCCTAGAATTGTGTCGGTTGATCTTTTTGCTTGGTGCTTAACATTCCTTACAGATCGTTCATCGTGTTTGGAACGTATACAATGAGATCTTATATTTGGAAGACGATGCCAGGAAATACTCAACCTTTAAAGGCGAGGCTCGACGGGACTTAGCCAACCTACGCCTTGTCAATAGGGCCTTCTGCCGCAGCGCATCACCTTGGCTGTTCCGGCATATCAATGCAGAGTGTACTTCCTCGCTGGTGACTCCGTCTCTAGAGCGGCTTATACGGTTATCGAAAACCCCGTATGCTACATGTGTTTGTCAAATTGACTTCGGCTTTAAGGAAAGCCGTCCGTCTGATGCCAGCACACTATATATCGAGGCCCTAGCAGAATGGCACTCCTCCCTTCTAGTCAAATTCACCAATCTCAGGGCCCTTGGATTTCACGAACCGCCCTTATCATTACCGCAAGCCCAGAGAGCAGTGTATATGGGCACAGTTATCTCTATGTTGCGTTACTTGCCGCTTCCAAACCTGTCAGAACTTGAAGTCAGATTTCCTATCACCCACGACTTTGGACGTTTCTTTCCGAATAAGACCAATTCTTTACAAATCCCTATCGAAGATATTCTACAACATCTTCGACACCTAGAACTATGCGTTTGTGTATACACGGACTCGGCGGACCAGAGGCACATACAGACGCCAGTTTTGCCGGAATATGCTGCTCTTCCCAATAGCACCTATGCTCCCCATTTATTCAGAATGGTTGAAAATGCGCCAAACCTCGAATCACTCATATTGTCTAGTGTCAATATTCTAGATTTCGACTCTGTCACCTTTCCATCTACCCTTTGTCTAAAGTCTCTTCATCTAGGAGGGGTTTCAATTTCATCCGACGTTCTCCTTTCGCTTATCAACCAATCTGCGCATAGACTGAAGTACATCAGTTTCTGGCTGGTGAAATTAAAGTCTGGGACATGGCAGCAGGTGCTATTGCAAATGTGCAAGTTACCACGCCTTCTCGATATCAACATCGATTATGGTGGATATACATTGACCGGATCGAGCTCTCATCTGGCCGACAGGCTACTTCCAAGTCCGGATTGCCGTCCAAATATTGAAACGATGCATAATCTTGATTTGACTGAACTTGGCAATCTACAGTGGCAAGTCAATTCGAACAGAATCGCTATGGGATTACAACCTTTCCCCGATACAGACTATCGACATATCAATAAGCCATCACTGGAGTTCGAAGGGTGATTTCTTGTAACTATCAAGAAGCTTAAACAGACAGGGCGATTTTAGTCAGGTTGAAATCCAGGGGATTGATTTTCAATAGGCTAGTTCAGCCCTCTATACTTCCAAGAGAACGCGTTCCTAGGAGTGGATATAATAGGCGTACGACGAAAGTAACCGAGGTGGGGGCATATTGTGGATTTTCGTTCTTGTTGGCCATTTGTGGAGACCTTCAAGTCTTGCAAGGCAGATACAATCAGATATGATAAGCAGTGGCGAAGGTTGTGAATAAGCCTTACTGTCGAGCCTTGCCTACTACACTGACTCGGAACTGACTCGGACCTGACTTCTTGAAAGTACCGGCTGTTTGCAGTGATGCAACCTGCAAGTTGAAAATTAGAATTGTTGACAGATTGCCGTCTAAAGACTTATATGTTTGCCGATTTTGCATCGAACCTTCCAGCAAGTCCAAGCATGTAGTCCTAGATCTTTGTATCTTCCATACTGGTATTTTAAGCTCCTGGTAATTATTACCTGGTTAGGTACACATCGAATTATTTACGCACTATTCATATACGGATTAGCGCATCATGTGATTAGGGTTTGAAAGAGGATCTCTGTGTTCCTAACATGGAAGGCGATACCGGTCGCCACTGTAAACAGTGAGGTATATATAATGAGCTAGAGAACCAGGAATATCAAAATGTGATTAGCTTATCTCTTAGTCTCGCTGAGAGCGCCACTATACCAAAATAGGCAGTTACAGTGTCTATGGAAGGCGAAAGCGGTCGTTACTGTACTACAAAATATCTTACTTCCATTGATACATCTAGTTATACAACAGTCTACCTTATAAAGAGATTCACTTTTACTAGTGCACAATTAGCGTAGTATTTTATATAGTATTCTTATAAATGAATACTATCTTAGTATCTTAGTATGTAGTAGGTCCCCTATTGACTAGCAGCAATCACTGCCTGACACCTCAGTATAATACTACCAATCAGATCAGATAGAAATTCCTCCGGTGCAGTATAGGCCTCCTAAACCACACCACGAAGCTTCGATAAAGGAAAGTGTTGATCTCTATACTTTCTCTCAGTCTAATCCTTTGTCTAGTTCTATGCCTCCTGGATAGGGTTTAAATCAAGGCTATTCTATTACAATAACCCTAAGCTCGTCGAAAAAATCAATAGCCTCTTTAGTAGTATGCCTAGGAGTATTATCGTATATAACAATCGGATCTTACTCCCTTCTTAGACGGAAGAAGCGTTCTATCACAATACGTATAGTATAGGATTCACTATATAGGTAATTCAGATTTAATTCGGATTTAATTCAATTTAATTCTATGAAAGGACCTCGGGAGGAGGTATTACTTCGTTCTTTTTTGGTCCTTGTAATTCTTTTACACACAAAAAGGAAGCCACGATCGCTTTGTTCCCGACTTCAACGTGTTCGTGGAAAAAACACAAAGAATCCAAACAATGCGATTGTATTTTATCGAAACCATGTCCAGCCAATCCACAAAAGCATTGACTCGGTACAACTGGGAATACTAAAGACTTGAAAGAATTGAGAAATAGATCACAAACAAAGGCTTTTGTAGCCCTTTGGGATCTCTCTCTTTCTCTACCAAGAGACCGGAAATCATAAGTAGGTCATATTCCAGCAATTTCCCGAGTAGATCAATCAAGCCATTCACATTCAAACATCCAAGAACAAGGTCTACACTTTCTATTTCTCTCAGTTCAATAGATTCCAAATCGCCAATCACAATACCTAGGTATGTCCAATTCTAACCTAAGTTGCTTCCGCAACGAAAGAATGTCTCACCGGGACCAACTGCGCGCGCCATACCAGAGAACCTTCCAAAAGGAGTGTTGGGACTTTGTAAAAAAGGCAGAGGCTACGGCTAATCACGCCAGGAAATACCCAAACAACCATGAATTCGAGCCTAACAGTGCGGTTTACAATGGGCTTGTAAGTTTGTTGTCTCGAATCGCACGAGTAAAAGACACAGGACTTGATATGGTTGCAGAGACCCCAGTATGCTCTCTAGTTCTCAGACAGCGCAGCTACTGGTTTATCCGGGATCTTGCAGATCAGACGGAGTTTGAAGACGAATGCGATGCTATAGAGGCCCGTATAGAGGGACTTATGCAAAAGGTTGAACGCCACGAGATAGAAAATCTTTGGCTTGCCGGATTTCTTGAGTCTACGGCTTTGCATATCAAGGACCAATTTAGCGTATAACAAGTCTACCCTATAAAGATTCACCATAATTGAATTTAGCGTATTGTATTGAACATGTATAGCTATGATCTTGAATTTTTCCTTCTTTGCCTACTCTCTCTACAATACATATTGATTTCAATTTGACTTACCTGCGACATAATGAGGGCAGAGTCGAGTTTTGTTGGAGGAAGTCCCCAGGTGGTACTAGATGACGGTGGACCTTTTATGAGATACAGACACGGTGACACGGAGGCAGTTTCATTTTGCATTTGTAGCTGTTTGGCGTGTCTGATTACTGACGAGGGGATGATTTGGTCCATTTTATTGTTGATATTGCAGATATTGACTCGGACCTATGAAAAAGACCGGTTAATATTGTCACGGATGAATTGGGATTTTAATTAAATGTACAAGAAGCTCTATAATATAGACACCAAGAATGCTAGACGAAATCTAAATTTATATACCTTTAAATCGACCACCATTCGAATTCAGTCATATCCTGTACCGGCAATGTATGTTGCTGGCGGCGCCAGGTCCTGCGGGCATGTTTGGTGAACTCCTCTGGAGGAGACCAGGCGGCCATCCAGGTCTGAGGTTGTCTGAGAGTAGTTCTAGATTGTAGAATGCCAAAGCGGAAATCAAGTGCATCGACGGTGCCTGCAGGAGACGGCAGTCGCATGTAGTAACGGACGCTGTCAGGAATCTCCTCAGCCACATGACTAGTCATGATCAAGGCTTGATCCTCTGAGAGACCAGTCCACCGGAAATTCGACTCCATTACAGTACGGGGTTTGGCATTAAGGGCACGGCGTTTAGGCCTCTCGCCAATTTCCAAGAATTGCAAGCACCTGTTACGCTGTGCTGCAGATAGACCCGAGAAAGCTTCGTCGAGGATAACAATGTCCGGCTTGGCGACGATTGCCCGGAGGAAAAGCACAATACGTTGTTGGGCGGTGGTGAGCTCACTAAAGAGAATTTCATCCGCGTACCCAACAACGTGATCCATTAGTGCATATGTTTCTAGCCTGACGTGAGTCCGTTTCGTCATGAGCGGTAGGCCATCAGTCGATATTTTGGGCACCTCGCTCGTGACGTAATTTGGATCGAGCTGGGGTTTGAAGAAATGCAGGATTGCAGATATGTCTTGATCTCTTTCAATGTTCAGCTTCGGCTTTGACAGGAAAGTCTCGGCGAAGGCAGTCTCAAGCGCTTCGCGAATTGATAATTGACGTGGGAAGAACGCATGGATCTCCGGTGATGAGTGTCCAATGCGGGATTGCAGTTCAAATATCGAAATTCCTGGTTTTCCAGGTTCCGCAAGTCTGGATCGTCCGAAATGTTTGACGGGCTGCCCATACGCCTGCGGATGGTCGGATGTGATCAATGATAGTAAGGTCGTCTTGCCTGACCCATTGGGACCGAGGATCGCCCAGCGTTGCCCCCGACGAACTCGCCAGTGTAACCCATCCTTTACTTCACCATTCACATTCTGCTGCCAACCACCGAGTACTACTTTGTCCCCATACTGGACATGAACTCCTTCCATATCAATGACTGGCTCTCCGCCCAATGGCGCCTGGACTTCTGAGGACTTTATAGGATTCGTATGCGCCACCAAATCCGTAAGCAGTTCTTGGTCTAAGACACCAGCCCTCAAGTCTGCTTTACATTTTTTCAATATTTGCTTTTTCTCTTCGGGCAGAGAGTCCGGCTTCGACTTATTTGCAACGTAGCTCCAGACATTGAGTGTGTCCTCGATAGCCAGCCTTGGCCCTTGCAGGAGAACCTTATGGGAATTACCCACAACCATAATGTGTGTGATCCAGTCCGGCACCTTGTCCTGGGGGCGCAGAGCCAGAATGAGCCGTGGGGTTTTTTTCTTCGCTAGCTCATGAAGAAGTTTAGAGATCTTTCTCACTGCCACCGGGTCCAATCCCACTAAGTAGAGGTTAGAATGTCACAGGCGTCAAATGTGAACTCGGAACACCCACTGAATGGCTCGTCAAGAAGTAGTAGCTCTGGTTTGCTAAGAATCGCCTTTGCAATTCGCGCTCGGCGGGTTTGACCATTGCTTAGACACGAGACTGGCAAGGTGAGCAGATTTTCAAGTTCAAGACGGCGAACGGTGCGCTGAAGGAAATCCTCATCATGTAGGGTGCCTTCCTCCTCGCCCTCCATCGGGTTTAAGGAGGTCTGGCCACGCAAGTATTGCAGCAGGGTCCAGTCGGTTTCCTCCTGATAACTCTCATAGCGAGCACTGAGGTATGCGCCACGGACTCCCCCAATAGCCCCCGAGCCCTCGCCACTAAATCCAACATATTGGACGGCATTTTCCACAACACGTAACCGTGGGTCCTTGGCGGCGATTTCGTCTGTGAGGAGGTATGGATATGAACGTGCGTTGGGCGGGATACAGATGTGTTTGCCGCGGAGGATATTGAGGAGGTCGGTTCGGTCAGATGGGCCGATGATGGCCCAGTGTTGCAAAGGTGCCGCCTTAGCTGCGCCGGGAGCGCGAATACCGGGTAGAGTGAAGTTCAGGTTTGGGAAGAGAGGTGGATTAGACGGGTCTTCGGCGGTTGGATACTTCTTGTAAAACGTCCCATCTTGAACGCGAATGAACGGAATTTCAGATTTGAAACGGGTGGGGCGATAAGATGTAAGCTGCAACGCCCTGGGCCGCAGTTTGGTTCGGAGTAGCATCGTCGTCTACTGGAAAAGGCACAACAGTGCGGAGATTGGAGATTCGGGGTCAACATTTTAGAGGCCACGTGACTATATGCAACAATTCTAGATGCAGGGGTTAATATCGGAGCCCCGGTGGGATCGATCGATGGACTGCTACAATACAGGTAAATTTGGTGCACGATCACGAACGAGGTATTTTTCTTTTGCAGTGGCTATCGAAATAGGGGTTATACACTCAGGACTTGTCTTTTTATATATCATGTACCCTGACCAAAGGTCCCATTTTTTTGTCTCATCCCATTGTTGAATCAGTCCAACAACATAAATAACCAAGTCGCAAGATAATCCGAATTTTGATATTGATCATCTCTTACAGATGCCTAACTAGTTAACTAACTAGTTAGTTATATTGTACATTCTCTCGAACATTGAACCTGACTTCCCCACGTGACTGTTCCGATCTTATCGCATCCGATCCCGGGGCCGGATAGCTCTCTTTTTCGGATCTACATCGAGCGGCTTGATTGTTCGAGGTGTGTTTTGTATCCACCATCTATTGAGACAATTCGAAGTTGCAACTAATGGAGAGAGAGAGAGAGAGAGTTCCAAACATAAGCATGTCTTTCTTATAATTCCCACCAAGTAGTTATACCTGGGTAAATCCCAATATAGATATACTAAGCCGACGGGTAATGTTGCGGGTGTGGCCACCCGACGGCGAAACTTATCGGGAGCCGATTATCAGAAGTCGTCATGGACCCTTATATAACCGGTCTTACTCTTACCTCACTTCCCCACAAACCTTCTGCATATCTCGTGCTTTCTAATTACGGACTCTCACCTGGGCACGTGGCAACCACAATTCGCGTTGATCTGACATCAAAGAAATCACCGTGAACGGTCAGTCAACCACCATCCAAGTGCAAGTATCTACATAGAGAGAAAGAAGCAACATGACAGGCAGCATGTACTCTCCGGTCCTTGAGACCAGTCGGATCTTCTCTGAGTTGTGCGAGCAGTCGGAACGCTTCAACTTACCATCCGAGGTGCTTGCAAAGAAAGACCTCGTCTCATTCTCTACCAGTCATAATGAAATCTACTTCCCCATTCCTTTTAAAGAGACCGAGACTCTCGCCGCCCTGAAGGGCGTCGAAGGCTCTGTGGCCGCTGCCATTGCTGACCTGCGCTTTGGTGCTGGCGCGGAACCTCGGGGCATCCAAGTCAACCTCGAAGCTGCCACTGCCTTTGGATGTCAAGCGTACATGGCAAAGGTGGATGGTCTATCAAAGTTAGACCCGGATGTGAAATCCAAGCTAAAGGGTAAGTACTTTGGTATACACTGGTTTATGAAGCGACAGGACAATATTGACAGTAACAGATACGGATTTTCTGGCTGCCCAATCCAACGGCTACCGTCGTATGTCGGCAAATCTTTACAAGACTAAGAACCCAGATGAATACTTCCATATTCATGGCTCGCTGGAGGCTACGACGACCTTGAACATGATTGGGCTGGAGGGCCACCGGCCAGACTTGACTGACTATGAAGAAATCATCAAGGTCATTGAGAATAAGGTACAGCAATACACAGCTACCGAGCTTGAAGAGATGAACAAGGAGAGACGCCAGGCTGGTGTGACTGCTTACAAGCATGAGGACTTCATTAAGACCCCCCATGTAAGTTTTATACAGTGCTGTATCCAACTGCAGCAAGCAAGCTAACCCTTTGACAGGGAAAACTTAACGTCGAGGAACCTGCATGGAAAGTCAGCAAATTGCCTGGTGATCTTCCCCCAACTCCTTTTCCAGCTAGACGCAACGGCAGCAGGAAGATCCTTGAGGGCGTCAAGGTATTGGAGATGTGCCGTATCATCGCAGGCCCAACTGTTACTCGTATTCTAGCCGAGTATGGTGCCGATGTTTTGAAGATAACCAGCCCAACCCTTTCCGATGTGCCGTTCTTTCAAGTTGATGGTAACATGGGCAAGCTTGCAGCAGATCTTGATTTAAAGAGCGAGGCTGGACGGAAGGAGTTTGAGAAACTCCTGGATGATGTGGACGTTATCGTGGATGGCTATCGTCCCGGAGCACTGGATAAGCTTGGCTACGGAGCAGAGGCCATGGCTGCGTTAGCCAAAAAGCGCGGCAAAGGAATCGTTTACGTGAATGAGAACTGCTTCGGATACGAAGGCGAGTGGGCTGACCGCGCTG